CAAAGCCGGCAAATTCGGGGCAAGCGGCTTTCAACTGTTTCGACGTGAGGCGTTGTCTTCCTGCATTACCTTCAGGTTTCAAGCCAGAAGCCGGACCTTATAAAAGATTATTGGTGACTTGTTTCCTGTGGGATTGGGAGGAGCCTCCAGATCTCAAGATGCTGTCCTGGGAGACTATTAGAAATAGAGTTACTGGTAAGACCTAACTCTGGATTTTTTCCCCCCTCTTACTGAGGGACACGAGATTCAAAAATAACTGGATGCTTTCCACATGCTATATTAGACGCTGCGGGAAGACTTCCTGGCCTTTAACACTGAGAAATCACGGATTCTGAGATACCCCCGTCTCTCAAGACCTAGGTTTCAACAGCCTTTAAAATCAGCAACTGTGCAGAAAGATAAACCAGTTCTTGAGACAGAAGAAAGTCCTGACAATCTGGAAGAGCCCATGAAGCATCTGCCAGGAGACTCAGGTCAGAGTACCACATCTCACTTGGCCAATATGGAGCTATCACCATCACCAGAATGCCCTCCATCTCAATCCTTTGGAATAGACACAAAAGGAGTTTCAGAGGAGGAAGAGTGTATATCAGGTTGTATTGGTTCGACAGAGCCAACAAAACATTTACCGCTTTCAGAAGATCTCTGTATCTGCAGGCAAGCTTATACAGATTGCTGTTGAACCTGAACAGTGGGTGGTCCACATCCGTGGTCCCACACTCATGGAACAGGTCCTGTAACACCCCTGGGTGTTGAGATCACTACCCTGGGTCCAGACGCTGCCTGCTGAGGTAGTATGCCTGCCAAATGTCTATGCCTGGTATATATAAAAAGGGCAAAGTCACGCATGAAATTCTGCATGACTAGTTCCTATCGAATGCTCTTTGCACAAGAAGCCTTCTAGTTCCCCCCGGAAAGTCGATCTATGCCACATCTATGTCACTGTTCGACTGGATGCTAACTGGATTGTGACGGACCGCCTGGTACCCCGACTGGGTACCTCAGTCAGAAATCAGCTTCCTCTCCGCTGGAACCTGAATTCCAGTGTCCTCAGCCCAAACCTGCCTAATTATTGGACAGAACCAATAACTTAGGACAGAACGCTAAATCCCTCAAACATCAGACAACACTAATGTTGAAGTGGAAACCAAGAACTCCTTTATTGCAGAAAGCACACAGAGTTTATACCTCACAGAATCAGATAAGAGTTCAGTGTGTTGAACAGTTCCCACCCCTAGACAGCCAGGGGCCGCATTGAAATTCCTTAAGCACAGATACTCTTTGGAATGAATGTCCTTAATTAGATAAGAGCTTAATCCCATCATTCCAAACAATGGCCCTTCCAGACAGCCTGCTGCCTTCATAATTATGTGTAGCAGAGATGGTATCCAAACGAGATGGAAGTCCGTATGGTTCAAATCAAGTTAAATAGTGAAAAGCTCTCTCTAGATAAAATATTAAACAGAAAAACACACACAGCAAACAAGTTCTCCTTGGTAATAAATCTCTGCAGTCCTAGGTCCGTAGTCGGTAGGAATGAGGCTAGCCCTCAGGCTCCTTTAGCAGCCCCAGTCAGGATGTCCTGCATTGAAGGGGCAACCAAATCTCAGCGTCCCTTCCCAGCTGTACTGACAAGGTGTCTGATTCCTTCAGAGCCTGTTAGGCTAGAATCCATTCAGGATCTTCCAAGAGATCAGAAGGAAGGATTTCCCCAACCTACAGAACTGGACTCCTGACCCATAATGCCAGAGACAATGCTGTTAAGGGACTAAATTATCTTGTCCCATGGATGTTGAGCTGCAGTGTTCTGGAGTGGAATTGGGCGAATAGGACTGCCACAAATGAGGCTACCGCTTGCCCCAGAACTTTCATGCAAAAGCAAAGACTCGGGCAGCTGCTGGACTAAACACTTCAGGTCTGGGGACGGAAAAAATTCTGATCTGACCAGTACCTAAGATAAGAACAATTTTGTATTGCATTAGAAAAAATGTGACCTGTCCCTTTAAGAAAAAGTATCGGTAATTGGTATCGACGAGTACTTGAAAAAAAGTATCGGTACTCGTACTCGGCCTTAAAAAAGTGGTATCGGTGCATCCCTAATAAGAACCAGATACTCCAAGAGATGAGTCGGCTCCAATGCGGACTTCAGAAGGTTCAGGATTTAACCAATCCTTTTAGGGTTTGTATTGTTAGTTCCATATTGATGTGGACACAGAACCTGTGGCAAGTGCTCCTCAATCAGAAGTTGTCCATATATCCCAGAAAGAGGATACCCTGGGAGCGTAGCACGGTTAGAACAGGGGCCAGTACCTTTGTGAACACTCAAGCTAAATAAAATAAAAACTTTGAGATCCAAAACAATTTTTTTTCCCCCAGTTTTTAGATTGGAGAAGGATTACAACACCTGTCAGTTTTTTTTATTGCTGTCCGTGTCCCAGATAGGGAGATTCACCAACTGAGGTCTTCAGGTGACCATCACTGAACGTGAAATAAACTTTTGTTTTGGATGGAATAAGGGAGGGTCATAAACCCTGTTTTTTTATATGTCATCTATTTCCCATTGGGGAGATTTTGCTTTACTTCCTGTCTGATACTCTGAACAGAACGTTAGAGGAAATCCCTCCAAAGTGAAAGAAATCCCTGGTGGTCAGCAGGGTCACCAGAACTAGTGTCCTCATTTCCTGCCTATTCCTGTTCTGGCGACAATCCAAAATTTGCGATTTTTGGCTTCAGTTCTACTTCAACAAAAGGCAGTCCTCAAATGAGTAAAGAGCTGCAAAATGTTGCCATTTTTTTCACGCTGAGGATCTTCATGGTAGGCATCTGTTGTGAGCCCCTTCTAGACCATCAGGAAATTTTCCCAATTCCAATTCTTGCTAGGAGATTCAACACGCTAGGGCAATCTTTGTCTTGCTGGACAAGCAAAAGGAAGTCCAGGGACCGCAACAGTTTTTTCTATGCAGCAAGAATGCCGATTTGCAACGGCCTGGAGATAAACTGAATTGGGGACTTCCTCGATGGACGCCACCTTTATGCATAAGCCAAGAGTCAGATGAATCCTGGATCCAGATATATCCACAATGAGGATTATGCAGGCTTGAAGGGCAAGGACCTTCAGCGAAATTGAGAGCCTAGCTTAGGTTTAGAACTTTAGGCTTGGGAAGATAGAAACTAACCCTTCTTAAAGGAAGGATCACAAGATTTAGCCACCAAAAGCTTGGACTCCTAAATTGGGGCTCTTGAATCCGGTTATTGCCTTGACATAAGTATTTATGGATACCCTGAACAGGTGTTCTGTAGTAAAGGGCATGCATACAAAAGGTCTTCTCAGGCCAGCATTTCAGCCAGAGAAGCTGTCCTATATGGAAAAAGGGACCCATCCTGGAGATTAGTCTGAGGGTATTCACAAGACCATCTAGGCAGTAGCGCAAGGCCACATGAAAGAGGTCTAAATGTTTAAAGAGCTGTGGCATCTTTCAAGAAGGAACCAGGGTTCCTATCCATTGCCTTTGATCATATAGATGAGATCTATCAGTGCCATAGCGGCAACAGCAGGGGTTGCTAAGTAGGGCCAAGCAAGGGCAAATAAGTCCTCAAAGAGAGCTTCTAACGTCTTGACTAGACTAAAACAGCCCATTTTTTTTAGGACTTCCTCTTCAATAGGGTATTGCGCCACAAACAGTTTAGGAGGAGTAAACAGTTTTTCAGGGCGATACCATAGTAACCATACCACACTGGCTGTAAAAGTGTGCATACAGGGAAGGTTTGGGGCATTTTTAGAGAATCCAGACTAGTGACCTTTGGCAAAGATGGCACAGGCAGCTTTAACTGTAAAATAATCAGGCATAGAGATAGTGTCCATGAGTTTGCAAGAGATGTTAGGAGAACTGCTTCTGGGCTGAACACACAGAACTAGAAGCAGCATACGGCTAGCAGAACAACTGCTAGGCTGTGAGGCCCCAGAGCCTGATGCTTACGTCTCCCTGCGCCTATAATTTGTCATTGTTTGAGGGTAAATTGCAACCCCAGTGGCAGAGATCCAGACTCCCTCGGTAGTGCCAACTCATATCAGCAGGGGCAGCCTGTGCGGCCACTACAGTGCAAGCAAGCAGGGAAAATGGCAGATTAATGTGCATAGCTATCCAGAGGTAGGCTGCATAGTCCATCTATGGACAAATTAAAATTTACAAGGAAAGAGCTAAAACACTGTGATTTGTCCCCAAACCCTCAGTGAAAAGGGGCAAACTGGATCTCCGAGTAGGGGACAAGCCGTCACTTACCACCATCAGAAAGGCAGCTGACTTGGCAACACAGTCACTTAAAGGGGACATGCCCAATGCAGTCTTCGGGGAAGGGCTCTCCCACACCTCTGGACCTGTAAAGCACACTGCAACTAAAGAAACTGCATAAAGTGCCAAGGAAAGTGCCCAACGCAGGATTCATTGCCCCAAGCACATTACAGGCTAGCCTCACAACTTCCTTCTGACAAAGTCTGGGTACGCTGATAGCGAGTATTTGGGCCAGTACTCGTACTCGTACTCACCGAAATGCTCAGATACCGGAACTTGCAGTCATAGGGAGCTTTTCCCTTCACTGCTCAAACGGTCGCAGCCCTCCAAGGGAATCATTTACACTGCAGAACCAGCAGTTCTGTATTGTATGTGAGGGGTTGTCCACATCCCAGGAGGCAGTGGGAGGAATAAGGGATAAGGCAAGTATTGTGCCTATTTTCCGAGCCAAAACAAGCATTTAAACCTTGCTGTGAGAAGAGCCCCCCTAGTGATACCCAGAGTTTAACTTCAATGACTGTATTTTGGATTTAACAGGACAGAAAATAGATTAACAAATTAACATTATAAAACATACACAAGACCAAGTAAAAAGTGCATCCCTTTTATGCAGCACCCCATTAAAAAAAAAAAAACTTAACTCACCTTACAATACAAACCTAAAATGTTAAACAGAAACAGGCATAATAGTACATTGACAAATTTACATACGTGGAGTCAGATTCTGCATTGCACTGAAGAAAAAATCCCACACTTTTCTGATGTGGTCTATCAGGGTAGAACCGTGGCATCACCATTATTTTCCATGGGAGATTTCTCACAAAACAGGGAGGACTCAGCACAGATTCACTAAGGCGACTAAAGCGTTCCACGGTGAACTGAAATGTTGCTTCTGATCGCCAACTGGTATCTGAAAATAGTAAAATACTTAATACCAAATTCAGAATAAACTTGATCCACATTGTGTGCAAAAAAAGCTGAAATATTTTATCAAAAAGACACATCCCAATGCAGGAAGTAGGGACCTCGTCCACTCCTCCCCCAGCCAGGTAAGACATCCCCCGAAAATAAGACCTAGTGTCTTATTTCGTGCAAAAAAAAAAATAAGACTGTCTTATTTTCGGGGAAACACGGTATAATGGAAATAGACTAATCTTTGACAATTGAAGAAATGGCAATAATCCAATAGACAATTCTAAGACTAAGCAAAAAAAAAAAAACACATACATATTCAAATGGTTCAAAATGTACTATGTTCGAACCTGAATTCTCATAGCATTTTACCCAAAATGGAGAAACTAAGCTCGATGCCAAATACAAAGATTGATATTCCAAGAAAATTTTCCATCATACTGGAATATTATTTTCCCACCAATTCATGCATCACCATGGGGTCCAAACTAAACCGCACAATGAAACTGGAGAATTGTCTTTGCTCAAATCCAAAAATCTTACAAGTGTAAGTGACAGCAGCCAAGAATCAGTAACATGGCAGGGTATGAAGTCACTGAAAAGGTAAATTATACAGCATTTTTTACATCACGAGTGTAGTTTAGTTGGGACCCTGTAGTGATAGGAAAACAAATGGCAAACACACTCATCAATTTGTTACCAGCTTTACAGCAAGGTGCACATGGTTGGGCTTCCTCCTGACAAACCTGCACCCAATTTAATCATTTGCCACATGTGCTCCAAGATGGAGACTCTCATAGTTTAGAGTTAGGACCGCTCTATATAGAGGTGCCTTGGCGCGACTGTGCGGCTTTCACATTTTCTGCAGAAGACGTGTATCTAAACCTGTTTTTAACCTTAGCGGTGAGACAAGTTTTTTTGCATACTGGCTGGTGAGTGTGCTGCATGCGGGAAATTAGCTCATGTAGCAGATTCTGCTACAGGCATCCTGCGGTTTCCCAGTCATGTTTGGGGTGCCGCTAACAAGTAATAGAACAGCAAGCATGTTACACATTTTTCAAGGCATTCCTTGAACACGCATGGACTAAACAAATAAAGAAATTAGTTGGAATTTGAATAGCATTTTATCAATGCCATATGTGGAAAGGTAAAGGAAACAGACACAAGTAATAAGAAAAAGCAGTTCATCAAATCCTAGACGATAGTTATTTTACAATGTTGATTTTAATTCTGTAATGTGCATACAACGGTACACCCGTCTCAAAAACTTACCGTCTTCCATATCCTCTTCTGTATTATTGTGGCCATCTGCCATAGCAACATTTCCATTTATTACTGGATTAGGAGTGATTCTTGGTGGGTCATCAGCATCTCCAGCTAAAGAAGAACCAAAAGAGTTATCCTGTTAAATAGGTATGTATTTCTACAGCATATCCCAGAGAAAATAATTCACATAATTTGTTGAACCTAATTATACACAATGAAAGACTGTATGTCACAATGTAAATCACACTTATCCCCATTTTGTAATTTTGTCCATGGAAGCTCTGTGTCCTGGGACAAAAATCTCTCCTAATCCGCTGGTAGTCATACCATGTATGATTATATGCTGACAGTCACAGACAGATGCGGCCGATGTCACAGTCATTAACTGGAATGGGCACAGCGGCCACATCTGTGTGGACACACCTGGAAATCCATAGTCTCTAGAATGCTATGTGCACGAGGACTACATAATGGTCACAGAAATATTTCTCTCACTCAGGAGTGCATGGCAATATTCTATGTGTTGCACATGTTTCCTAGGTGCCCAATACTTGCATCAGCATCTTAAATGCCCAAGCCATTGATTCAAGGTATACCGCATCTGGTTTACATTTTTTACCTCGAAGGGCCATGCCAAGAGTCCTCTTTTATACTATATAAAACATATAAACCTTTCACTAGTGATTCCATGAGCTGTATACATAATTACTGGCTCATGTTTATTCTGCTATTCTGGGTCAGTAATAATGCAGCATGAAACATTAAACCTTAGTAATATTAAAACAAGAGATAAGAAGGCAAGTGAAGGCTAAACATTTCAAGTTCAATAGGTAGATCATAATAAAAAGGAGATACC